AAATGAATGTGTGAGGAACGCAGCAAAGCCCCTACTGTTAACGTTTGCCGCCCTCTGTCCCACAGGCACTCCAGAGCCGCGAGCAGCCTCGCACAGCCCGCGAGTTTCTTCTGCTCCCCCAGAAGAGGACACGGTCTCCTTTCTGGCCTCTCTCCCTCGGCCGTACCGCACGACAGCTGGCAGCACCGTCAGCCACTGCTCGGGAGTTAGGAAGATGCTCCAGCTTCGAGGCATGTGCAGCGAACGCACCCAGCCCTGGTGCAGGAGCCAGTGCCGCAAATTGGCAGGCAGTCCTCGGGGCCGGAAGTGGCCCTGGCCCTGCGCCGTATGCTTTCTAGGACTGCAGGAGGCTCGGCATCTCGGTGATAGACCCAGGAAGTCAGTGACGGGGCGGGGCGCGCTGTGAGGACTGAGGTCTGCAGCGAAGCCAAAGCCGAGGCCAGCCGCGTGGTCTTCGCTACCTTCGGCAACCAGCGCCCAGCGAAGGGTAAGAGGGAATGTTTCAAAGACTGGCGCCTGGAGCAGTTGCCGGGGCAACCGTGCGGCTTGTGGCGTGGCGGGGGGGGGGGGGGGAAGAGGGCCGGACACAAACGTCTGCCGTGATTGGCTGGTTCTGCTGGCGCCGCCTTTCTCCCCCGCCTCGATGCCTGATTGGCTAAGGGCAGAGCGTGGGCGTGGCCTCCTAGATTCAGTCCTGCGGGAGATGGGGCCGCAGAGCGAGAGGCTAGGCCCAAGGGACCCTGCGGACTCTGGGCCTCACTACACGGCCGGGCCCGGGAGTTGGGAGACAGTATTCCAGGCTAGGAGGGCGCTGAGGCCGATGCCCCCGGCCCAGGGGGGCAGTGCCGCCAGCCGATCCCTGAGCGCCTGCAACAGGGACCTGGGACCGCAGGAAAGCAGGTGGGAAGCCAGGATGGAAACGTTCTGCCTCTCCGCCTCTGCCCTCACCTTGCTCCTGACACCGCGTCAGTGATGATCTAGTGGGGTTCCCTAGTGGCCAAGAAGCCCCGAGGAAGCCAAGGAAACCTCTGAACCTGCTCACCCTCTACCCAGGGAGACACCAAGACCGTTCCCTGGCTTCTTCCCTCCAGCCTCCCACTTCTGAGTGATGCCTGTAACCCACCAAACTATGAGTACCCTTCAGCCTGGCGTTCCAGGCCCTTCCATGGCACAGCCACTACTCCTCCCTGTCTTATTTGTGCTTGTCAAATATTTCCCAAACTGCCAAGTTCCACTGTTAAGATACTTTTGCCAGATCTATCCCACAATGGGGCCTCTGGAGGGATCCCTAAAGGGAGAAGTGGGCCAGCCCTAGGGAATGGCCATCTGCAGGCACCCTCCATGGGGCCCTTGGAACCCGTGTCCCTGCACTCTGCCACAAAAGGGGAAACATTTCTCCAGGATACTTTGTGCTGTCTGGGCTCCCTGGAGGCCAGAGTGAAGTGTTTTGTTTTTGCGAAGGAGTCTCGTTCTGTTGCCCAGGCTGGAGTGCAGTGGTGCAATCTTGGCTCACTGCAACCTCCGTCCCTCCAGGTTTAAGCAATTCTCTGCCTCAGCCTCTGGAGTAGCCGGGATTAACAGGAGCGTGCCACCATGCCTGGCTAATTTTTTGTATTTTTAGTAGAGACAAGGTTTCACCATCTTGGCCAGGCTGGTCTTGAACTTCTGACCTCGTGATCCACCCGCTTCTGCCTCCCAAAGTTCTGGGATTACAGGCGTGAGCCACCGCGCCCAGCCCAGAGTGAAGTTTTTAAATAACTCCCTAGATCACTCAACAGTCTTTTTTTTTTGAGACAGGGTCTTGCTCTGTTGCCCAGGCTGAAGGGCAGTGGTTTGATCACAGTTCACTGCAGCCTCAGCCTCCCAGGATCAGGCGATCCTCCCACCCCAGCCTCCTAAGTAACTGGTACTACAGGCACACACCACCATGCTTGGCTAATTTTTTTAATTATTCGGAGACGAGGGTCTCCCTATGTTGCCCAAGCTGGTCTCAAACTCCTGACTTCAAGAGATTCTTCTGCCTCAACCTCCCTAAGTGCTCAGATTACAGGTGTAAGGCACCACACCGAGCCTCGACAGACCTCTGAATCACTCAAGTCCTGACATCTGGTCCCTGGCACGCTGTTCATGGAGCCTAAGGAACTGAAATTAAAGGAAGCAACAGTCACTGTGCAAGTGAGTACTCTGCTCAGCTCTCTTGCCAAGTGATGACGGCTTCCAGGGTCATTTTAGCAACGCTCCCACCTCTGTCTCTCTCCTTACTTAGAAAATGAGCTCTTTGAGAGCAACCCTGCTTTACAAATGAGTCTCCCTCACCCCCTCACACTGAACCAAGCAGAGCAATCCTATTTCTGGCTAAGTGACTGGCGCGTGAAGACAAACTGAAGGGAGAAAACAGCTTTTTTTCTGGCCTGAGAAATAATCATTTAATTCAACCAATCCTGCCAGCCTCCCTAGCCTAGATTCCAGAGACCTCCTGGACACCATCAAGTCCTGCCTGGGCTTCCACTAGTGAGCAGCCTCCTGGTGTCCATTTGATTACATCTCACCCCACCCACATCCCTAGCTGAGTCTAACATTCCTGAAGGTCAAATCTATTGTCTTACTCTCTCTTTTTTTTTTTTTTTTTTTTTTAGACAGAGTCTCACTCTGTCATCCAGGCTGGAGTGCAGTAGCAAGATCTCAGCTCACTGCGACCTCCACCTCCTGGCTTCAAGCAATTCTCCTGCCTCAGCCTCCCAAGTCACTGGAACTACAGGTGCCTGCCACCATGCCCAGCTAATTTTTGTATTTTTAGTAGAGACGGGGTTTCACCATGTTGGCCAGGCTGGTCTCAAACTCCTGGCCTCAAGTGATCCACCCACCTCGGCTTCCCAAAGTGCTGAGATTACAGGTGTGAGCCGCTGTGCCTGGCCTTGTCCTCCTCTTTTTAGATAGCCCTGCATGGGGCCTAGTAGTGTACACCAGTAGTCCCAGCTACTTGAGAAGCTGAGGTGAGTGGATCACTTGAGCCCAGGAGTTCCAGGCCAGCCTGGACAACATAGCAAGACCCCATCTCTATTTTTAAAAAGACAAAAAAAACCTGGGCTAACAATGCACACTTACATTGTTGTGGAGGGCCGGGGTGCTATATCTACAGTGCTTGGCCCTGTGCCTGGAAGAGCAGCTGCTTGACAAGTGGCAGCTATGATTATCCTTCTCAGTCCACCATCCTCGGCAAGCCACTCTTTTCCTTAGGATCTGGGAGACAATCAGGGCTGTGGCCACCCTGGTGGCCCCATAATCCACAAAAACAGGTAGGGTCTCAAGGGCCTCCTTGGTGCAGACATCCTCATGGTCAGTTGGTGTCAGAGCTGAAAGTTATCTTGGGACCTGGGCCACAAATAAGGGATGACAGGCCAGCTGAGTCCATCCCCACCCAGGGAAAAAAGCAGAGAATGGGAGTTGGGAGCTACAGAGGTTAAAACCAGGGGAAGAGGCCAGGCACGATGGCTCATGCTTGTAATCCCAGCACTTGGGGTAGCCGAGGTGGGCAGATCACCTGAGGTCAGGAGTTCAAAACCAGCCTGGCCAACATGGTAAAACCCTGTCTCCACTAAAAATACAAAAAATGAGCCAGGTATGTGGCGCACACCTCTCATCCCAACTACCCGGGACTCTGAGGCAGGAAAATCGCTGGGACCCAAGAGCTGGAGGTTGCAGTGAGCCAAGATCGCGCCAGTGCACTCCAGCCTGGGTGACAGAGCAAGACTCAGCCTCAAAAAATGAAACAAGGCCGGGCGCGGTGGCTCAAGCCTGTAATCCCAGCACTTTGGGAGGCCGAGACGGGCGGATCACAAGGTCAGGAGATCGAGACCATCCTGGCTAACATGGTGAAACCCCGTCTCTACTAAAAAATACAAAAAACTAGCCGGGCGAGGTGGCGGGCGCCCGTAGTCCCAGCTACTCTGGAGGCTGAGGCAGGAGAATGGCGTAAACCCGGGAGGTGGAGCTTGCAGTGAGCTGAGATCTGGCCACTGCACTCCAGCCTGGGCGACAGAGACTCCGTCTCAAAAAAAAAAAGAAACAAAAACAAAAAAACAGGGGGCCGGGCGAGGTGGCTCAGGTCTGTAATCCCAAAACTTTGGGAGGCCAAGGTGGGTGGATCACAAGGTCAGGAGATCAAGACCATCCTGGCCAACATGGTGAAACCCTGTCTCTACTAAAAATACAAAAATTAGCCGGGCATGGTGGTGTGCACCTGTAGTCCCAGCTACTCAGGAGGCTGAGGCAGCAGAATCACTTGAACCCAGGAGGTGGAGGTTGCAGTGAGTGGAGATCAGGCCACTGCACTCCAGCCGCGACAGAGCGAGACTCCGTCGCAAAAAAAAAAAAAGGCCAGCAGGAAGACCAGCAGTAAATCAAATCTCAGAGCCAGGCAGGGGCGAGCAGGGCGAATTATAAAGGACATATACCAAGAGGCCAAGAGGGTGAGACATAGCAGAGGCAGGTGACAGCAGCTGCAGCATAGGCCAAGAAGGAAAGTGGCCCCTGGTGAGGAGCACAGGCAGGCCACGGTGGGAGCAAACGGCAAAGGCCAGTCACAAAACTGAGCCACCGATGCCTGGGTGAGAAATGGGGCAGGCAGGAGTTTCCAGACCAGTTCTGCCTGTTCCTGGCTTCCAAAGAGAAGAGCCACGGGAGAGTGCGGGCTCAGTAAGCAGTGCCCTTGGGACAAGTGGCGGCAGCGGCAGACGGCCGGCGAGGGGTCCCCAGGTCCAGGAGTGGCTGACTGGCTTCAGCCCTGGAAACCTCTCTGTACTTGAAGCCTTTGCTTGCCAATGTGTGCAACGCTCTGGAATGGGCCTTTGACAAAAGGGAACCCCACCCCGGTGGGGGCCCAAGCCAAGAGTGGTGACTCGGGGATGCCTCAACGAGGACAGGAGATTGACCCAGGAGCTCCCCCACACTCGGGGAATCAGCATCAGGGCACCAGGAGACAAAGCTGTGTAGGCAGGCGCTTCAAGTCCAAGGCCTTTAATTCACAGAGTGTCTGCCCCTTCTCGCCCTCCCCCGTCGCCATGCCTCACCCCATGCCCTCACCGCCCCAGCTCCCTTCCCGCTCCCTTCTCTCCTCCCTCGGAGCCTTGACTCCAGTGGGGCTGTCCCAGTGGCCCTGGGCGCCCTGCTTCCCCTCTCCTGGCCTCCTAGGTGGGAGCAGGTGGGGGTGTGGCCAGAGCCCCCGCCGCCGCCGCCCCCAGCATCAGCATGGCCAGGGCCTTGGGCCCGGTGGTGTGAATCTTCTCATGCCGGTGCAGGTTGGAGCGACGGCTGAAGCTTTTGCCGCACAGTGGGCAGGCGTAGGGCCGCACGCCGCGGTGGGTGCGCTGGTGCGCCGTGAGGTGCGAGCTGTGGCTGAAGCTCTTGCCACAGTCGAGGCAGTGGTAGGGCTTCTCGCCCGTGTGTGTGCGGTTGTGTGCAATGAGGTTGGAGCGCTGGCTGAAGCACTTGCCGCACTCGGGGCACGGGTAGGGCTTGACCCCAGTGTGGGTGCGCTGGTGGGTGACCAGCGCCGAGCTCTGCGTGAAGCACTTGCTGCAGATGGGGCACTTGTGCGGCTTGGCGCCCGTGTGGGTGCCCTGGTGGGTGACCAAGTCCGAGCGTCGGGTGAAGCGCTTGGTGCAGCGGTCGCACACGTAGGGCTTCTCTCCGGTGTGGATGCGCTGGTGCTGGATCAGCGTGGAGTGGTGGCTGAAACTCTTCCGGCAGGCGGGGCAGGTGTAGGGCTTCTCGCCCGTGTGGATGATCTGGTGCTGGATGAGGTGCGAGCTGCGGCCGAAGCGCTTCCCGCAGTCAGTGCAGGCGTAGGGCTTCTCGCCCGTGTGCGTGCGCCGGTGCGTCACCAGGTGCGAGTGCCAGCTGAAGCCCTTGCCGCACTGCTCGCACCAGTAGCTCTTCCTGCCCGCCTCGCTGTCAGGGGCCAGGCCCTCCTCGCCACTCTCCGGTGCTCCCTTCTCTTCCTCGCTGGGCTTCTCTGGGACGCGGCCCTCCTGGGGCTCCGTGGGACTGGGGTCTGGCGGAGCTGCAACTGGAGTGCCATCTGGATTAGCCGGCTGCCCGGAGTCTTTGGCCGGCCCTGAGTTCCGGCCGCAAGCCGCTTCCTGCGCGCACTGCGGAACGCCCCCCTGGACTCTCCCCGACCTGTTTCTGAAGGGCTTCACATCTCCAAGGGCTGCCACCGATGAAGTCGGCATCCTCTGCCCCACCTCGATAGCTCCTGGAAAAAGAAAGTCGTTTCCAGCGAGGGACGAGCTTTCCTAAGGGCCCCAGGAGGGTGGAGAAGGCAGAGCTAAGGGTGGGGGCTGGATTCTCCGAGACCAAAAAGCGCAAGGGCCGCTCTGGGCGCAAACGGTCCAGGAGGGGGTCTGGTGTCCCTGCCCCACTCCCACAGACAACAGCCAGAAGGCCGGCGTCTGCACCCCACTCCCGCAGACAAAGGGGCGCGCCAGTCCCTCACCTGAGTACGCGCCTCTCCACTCCTCCTTCTCATCTCCTGTCTGCCGGCTGGAGCCTGAGGCCTCGCCCTTGCCCTGCGCTTGAGGGGCCCAGAAAGGCTTGCTGAAGGGAAAGCCTGCCCAGAAAAGATACTGTGCTGTCACGGGCCTTCTGGTACTGCCCAGCTGCAGACAGCATCCCCCCAAAACTGATGGGGCCCAAGTCAGGGGTGAGGCTCTAGAAACATGGGGTAAAATAAAGCAGTTTCAAGAAGTCCCCCTGGGTCAGGGGTCCGCCCCCTGGCTAGGGGCTGCCAGAGCTGAGTAGGCCTGTCTCTTTCCCTGCAAGAGCAACAGAGTTTAAGGGAGAGGAGTGGGCAACACCCTACCTCACCTGGAGGGGCGGGGGTAGTGGCCCTCCAAGTGGGAGGACCTGGGACAGGAAGGCCAGGGTCGCCAACAACTAAGGTCATCCCATTTGTCAAGTCTTAGGGGTGTGTGGCCCCAGGAATTTTGGTCAAGTCAGTAAAAGAGCGGAGGGGGCCCTGGCTTCCACCACCCGTGGGAAGAAAGGAATGTGTTGGACCAACCGGGTGGCTTGGGGCTCTGCGAGTCCTGCTGTGGGGCTGAAAATGGGTGCTGAGTTCCTTCTGATCCCCCAGGACTTGCCTGGGCTTGCTGGCCCAGGCACCGGGGAACCATAAGAGCGGTGGTGAGCAGCCTGAGCTAATTAAAGGGTGAGCATCCCTGGTGCCAGCCAGCGGGGCCTCGGGACCACCATGACGCCACCAGCTGGAACTGCTGAATCCTGGATTCTGCCCGGACTAGCAAGTGTGCTAGCTGGGTGTTGGCCAGGCGCAGTGGCTCATGCCTCCAGCACTTTGGGAGGCTGAGGTGGGCAGATCACAAGGTCAGGAGATCGAGACCATCCTGGCTAACATGGTGAAACCTCATCTCTACTAAAAATACAAAAAAAAAAAATTAGCCGGGCATGGTGGTGGGCACCTGTAGTCCCAGCTATTCGGGAGGCTGAGGCAGCAGAATCACTTGAACCCAGGAGGCAGAGATTGCAGTAAGCCGAGATCACACCACTACACTCCAGCCTGGGTGAGAGAGCGAGACTCTGTCTCAAAAAAAAAAAAAAGAAAAGAAAAAGAAAAAAAAGCTAAGTGTCAACTGAATGAGTGAATGAGTAAATGAATACTGATTTTTCCATATGAAAACTAAAGTCTGAAACTGAGGGGTCAAAAGCTGTGGGATGGCTGGGCACAGTGACTCACGCCTATAATCCCAACACTTTGGGAGGCCAAAGCAGGAGGATGGCTTGAGCCCAGGAGCTCAAGACCAACCTGGACAACATAGTGAGATCCTATTTCTACCAAAAAAAAAAAAGAAAAAATTAGCTGGGCATGGTGGTACCTGTAGCCCCAGCTACTCAGAAGGCTGAGGCAGGAGGATCACTTGAACCCAGGAAGTCGAGACTGCATGAGTCGTGATGGTGCCACTGCACTCCAGCCTGGGTGACAGAGCCAGGCTCTGTTTCAAAAAAAAAAAAAAAAAAAGCTCTGGGACTTAAATACTTACCATTCAAGAAACAAAGGGAACCAAGGCCCCTCAGAGACAAGCACCTGCTCCTCAAAGCAGATGGGACACCCCAGGGTCTGCGGGGCCTGGGGAGTTCAGCTCATGCCATCTCCCTCTAGGGCAAGTAGCCCCCAGGCCCCGAAGCTGAGTTTGCTGCTCAGACACCTCTGAAGTTGGGGGCTTGGAAAGGCAGATGGAGCTACAGGAGTGAGCCCTGGGGATGAACCCAGGAAAAGCAGACTTCCTGGGGCAGCGTCCAGTACAGTAGCTGCTAGCCATATGTGGCTATTTAAACTCTCATTTGAACTAATTAAAACCAAGTAAAACTGGCCGGGCATGGTGGCTCACGCCTGTAATCCCAGCACTTTGGGAGGCCGAGGCGGGTGGATCACAAGGTCAGGAGATCGAGACCATCCTGGCTAACCCCGTCTCTACTAAAAATACAAAAAATTAGCCGGGCGTGGTGGCGGGCGCCTGTAGTCCCAGCTACTTGGGAGGCTGAGGCAGGAAAATGGCGTGAACCCGGGAGGCGGAGCTTACAGTGAGCTGAGATCGCGCCACTGCACTCTGGCCTGGGTGACAGAGCAAGACTCCGTCTCAAAACAAAACAAAATCAAGTAAAATTAAAAACTCAAGGGCCCTACCCACATTTCAAGCACTCAGCAGCCACACATGGCTTGTGGCTCCCATCCTAGCACACACAGAACATTTCCATCATTATAGAAGTTTCCATGGAACAGTGTGTCTCGAGAGACAAGGAGAAGGGTGGGAGGGAGAGGGAGGGAAGGGAGGAGAGAGGAGATGGCAGAGCAGGACCCCTCCCTAACACACCAGTCCCCACTCCAGGCGAGTGCTTACCCAATGACAGCCCATTTCTCTTCTGCAGGACATCCCTGTAGAAGTTCTGCTGCGTGTGGTCCAGTCGACCCCACTCCTCCCTGGAGAGGTACAAGGCCACATCCTCAAAAGTCACTGGCATCTGAAACAATATGAAACATCCACTCTCCAGGACATGCCGTGGACACAGTGGAGGGACACCGTGTCATGAGATGTGTGGTGAGACCCTGGACTCCCAACCCGCTGTCTCTAGTGAGGCCTGCCACTTCCATCTGATGGGGAAGCAGGTGAGCCACCCAAGGCCTTCTGGGGCGTTGAGAAAGAACAAAGACCAAGCGGTATTTTCAGGGACCACAATTAAGACTTAGGATGTCCATACAGCCCCCATCCTTAGCTCAGACCTCAGAGGACGGCTCCAAACGGCTCCCAACGAGAGGTCCTGTGTCTCTAATTCCTGCTGCTTCTCCTCCAGCCTTGGCCCAGGCCTGACCATAGGCCTTGAGACTGGAAAATTCCAGCAACACTAGCAAGAGCCCCAGGCTTCAGGCTTGGCTGCAAGTGGGGCCAGCGGGGTCCTGGCTTTGCACACAGAACCAGCAGATGCAGGAAGGGCTGAGCACCATGCAGGGGCTGGGGAAAGGCCACTCACCTGGGACCAGGCAGTGAGGAGTGCCGCGGCCATCTGCCGGTCTCTGGTCCTCCCCTCTCGGGAAAGCACCGGGATCCGGGGGGAAGGGAGGGCTGTGGGAGGAGAGGGGTCCTCAGGGTGACCAACTGATCCTGCTGGACCTGCTGCTACTCCAGCTGCCTCAAACTCCGCCCCTGGCCCGACCCAAGGACAGGGTCAGATGGCTCTGAGGCTGCCATGGGGAGAACATGTCCCTTGCTGGCATGGAGACTCTCGGCCCCACCTGGACCTGGGCCGAGCCACCACCTCCCCATCGCTGCCTCCCTGGGAAAGCGCCTCTTCCCCATCCCTCTCCTACCTCCACCAGGCAGGAAGAGAGCTTTCTCCTTAGAGCCGTGACTTAGGGGTGCCCAGCCCCAAGCACCTTGAGCCCCATCCTCCTGCGATGCCCCCTCGGGGTGTAGCTCTTCTGGCTCCGTCTTAATGTGCAATGACTCCTGAGCGTCCCCTGAAGGCACTGCCTCCCCCAGCTTAGAAAGCATTTCCTGATGAGAATGTCCACGATCTGGAATCTAGAGAGGACAGCCTCATCAGCACCCGGATGAGTGGGAGAGACACCCAGAGCTGCATGCCAGGGCGTTCCGGCAGGGTTGGACACCAACATGCAAGACACAGCTTGAAGGACTGTCCTTGCTGCCTCCATCGAGCTCACCCCAGCAAGGATGGGTGGCAAGAGGAGGAATATTCATCAAGCTGCTGCCATGGTGCCGGTGGGCATGGTGCCCGAGGGCAGCTACCCCTTCTCAGCTCTGGCCTCACACTGACCTCAGCAGTGTAGACTGTTGTTTATTAGTGTATGAGGAAAACAAGTGTAGTGGCTTGAATAGTGTCCTCTAAGAATCCATGTCCTACCTGAACCTCAGAATGGGGCCTTATTGGGGAAAAGGATCTTTATTCAGGTAAGTTAAAGATCTTGAGATTAAATCATCATGGATTTAGAGTGAGCCTAAAATCTAATAATGACTTATGTCCTTATAAGAATACGAGAGGACACAGAGACACAGAGAAGGAAGCAGAGACTGGAGGGATGCCCACATCAAGGACACCAGGAGCCCCCAGGAGCTGGAAGAGGCAAGAGAGGATCCTCTTAGTCTAGAGCTTTCAAAAGGAGTGTGACCCTTCCAACACGTAGATTTTGGACTTCAGTCCTCCAGAACTGTGAGAGAGCCAATTCTGGTTGTTTTCAGCCCCTGAGAGGGTGGAAACTTGTTACGGCAGCCACGGGAGACTAACACACCAGGGCTGGGGATGAGACACCCCATGACCACATAGCTCAAAAGTCAGGGAGGGCCCTGGTGGGGCCTCATCCACAGCACAGGGACTGGCTGGCCTTCTGCTGGGGACTCACACCCCTTCCTCCATGCCCTGTCTGTGTTTGGGTCTTGAAGGGAAAGAACCTCAGGCCATGAGTCAGGGTGCCTGGGTGCCAGACCCAGCGACACCCCTCCCCAACCAGGTAGCCTTCAGGACGCAGCTGCTCTGCCCCTGCACAGAGCGGTCATGAGGTTCACACAGATAATGATAGAGAAGGAGCTGCCGGCTCAGGAAAGTCCTAGATAAACACAGGGCGGTGCTGATCATTATTCCCCTCCCTGTGCGCACCAGACAGAAGCCAGCGCCGGCAGAGAATGCCAAAGTGTGGGGCTCTACTGACACGCACAAGGTGTTGAAGGCACACAGGAAGTGGATGGGAAACTGAACTATGCTAGCAACTCTTTGATTCTATGGTATGAAAACCATAGATGATGACGTCTCATGCCTATTATCCTTAGAACCTCCCCATGACCCTGCGAGACAGGTGGGAACAGCAGGCATGTGGTCTGGTTCCCAGAGGCCAGGGACTGGCCCCCGGCTTGTTGATGACTCACGCTCTTCCCACTCCAAGCCCGAAGACCCAGGTCCCCCACAAATAGTAATTACACACACACACTGGTAGCAGGTACAAGGAAGAGGAAGGACGGGGAGCTCGGACCCAGAGAGATGAGAAGCTTTGGTTACAGATGGAGAAGCACAGGGAAGGAGAACAGGTTTCCCTGTGTGCTCTGAGCACTGCTCAGAAAGAAAACCTCACCAATAGGTCCCCCACCCAGACCCCTGCCATCTCCTGTGGCTACTGACTAGAGAATTCACCAGCAAAACAAAACTGTTATGCTGTAAATTCCAGACAGAAGGTGCTACCCAGCATGCCACCTCTTCTTTGATCCCCCCACCCCAGTGAGGCTAACTCTTCCAGGGGTCCAGACTCTGTGCCTTGAAAATCTCCGCACCAGCCTCTTCCATCGCATGCCTCCCTCACCCGGCCCCATCTGTACCTCCGGGGGTGTCTCCTTGTCCTGGGCGGCCTGGATGCCTTCGCCATCTGCAGACATTTTCTATTTCCGAGCTAAAAAGAACAGCTAAGTTGTTTCTGCCTCTTTTTTTTTTTTTTTTTTTTTTTTTTTGAGACGGAGTCTCGCTCTGTTGCCCAGGCTGGAGTGCAGTGGCCGGATCTCAGCTCACTGCAAGCTCCGCCTCCTGGGTTCACGCCATTCTCCTGCCTCAGCCTCCCGAGTAGCTGGGATTACAGGCGCCCGCCAACTCACCCAGCTAGTTTTTTGTATTTTTAGTAGAGACGGGGTTTTGCCGTATTAGCCAGGATGGTCTCGATCTCCTGACCTCGTGATCCACCCGTCTCGGCCTCCCAAAGTGCTGGGATTACAGGCTTGAGCCACCGCGCCCGGCCTTCTGCCTCTTTTTGTCCAAGCCCCCTCGAGCTTCTGGCCAGCAGCCTGGAAGAGCAGAGAGAAACCAGCCCTCGCTTCCTGGACACCTCCAAAAAGCCCTGAAAATCCCCACGAGGACCAGCGCTCCCTGTCCCAATCGGAAAGAAAGTCTCCCAGACCCTATCCAATGGTCCCACTCTCTGTGATGTTTTCTGGGTCCTATTTTTGAAAGAATGCTATTTTGTATTGTCCCCTTTATCGCTGAAGCAAGAGCCTCGCATCTCAGCGTAACCGGCTCAGGTAAAGCCGAGGCTAAATTGGAATTGCTATTTCCTGTCATCAGGAGCAGAAAGTTCTGCAGAGATCCTGCAAAACAGGTGCTAGTGGAGCCCTGCTCGTCAAGGCCAGGGGCAACCAGGCCCTGCTGTCCCCCGACCCCAGGACATGCACCGTGTCCCTACCTGACTCCCAGCCCCACCAGGAATTCAGAAATCAACCTGCCCGCTCTCAGCAGCCCCCTTGCAGCTGCAGCCACCTGCCCCAGGCCTGGAATGCCCATCCTCCTCTCGGTCCTGGCAGACAATGTCCTTCTCCTTCCCGTACCCAGTCCTGGCCCCCTTCTCTCCTGCCAGCTTGAAGCCTTCCACCTTTGACCCCATCCCCTCCTGCAAGCTGATCATCTGCGCCGGTCTCAGGATCCAGATGCCCTCCCTAGCACCCCCTTCTCACCAGGGTGGAGGCAGAGGGGGCACCTGCAGCAGCGGGAGCCCCCTCCCCCGGGAAGGGAGTCTCCACAGCCTGCACGGGGTGGGCGGGGGAGCCGGGTGGAGACTGGGATTAGGGACAACAGGAAGTCCCTCCCAGATCCCATTCCCCATACAGGCGCAGCCCTACAGCGTTCCCAGTTTTGAGGGTTCCGGGTCTGGAGTCCCGAGCCTGGGTTCCACCTGCTCTTGGCCTGGAGGTGACTCCCAGAGCCTCAATGCCAGCTCGTGAGGATGGCTTTACCCAGCCTGCGTTCATGATGCCAGCAAGGCAGGGCCACCAAAACAGAAAAATGGAAGATGAATTTTGTGGAAAGATTGTATTATTTGAAATTTCAAAGAGAGCGCTGCCGTCGTCCTCACAGGTAGAAAGAAGGGCATTTTGCAGGGTGGAGAGGGCAGGACCATTTATTTTAGCACTTGGGGTTTCTGAAGGTTGTTGTCTCCTGAGGGATCCTGAATTCATTTAAGGACTCCTAGTCAAGGGCCCTCTGGGTCCCCCCAAGACGGGCACAGAACTCTCTCCCTGAGTGAACTTGGGAAACAGGCTGGGGATTCCCCCCAACCCGGATGCCCCACACCTCGGGAAGAAGTTGTTAAATCTGATTCTTCCAGACCCATTTCAGCTTGGGGATAGAGGGTGTGATCCTGCTATAAATGGGGTCCTAAGTTCTCAAACACGCCTGGCAGCTGCAGATTCTGCCTTTCAGGCACCATTTCCCTTTACACCCTGAGAAGTAAGCCCTCAAATGGAGAGGACAGAGACTGTGCTTTACTTTCTGGGGGAAGGAACCCTTTCTTCTGGGCAGGCATGGGGCTGGGTGTCAGGAAGAGGGCCAGGGACCTAGTCCTGGAATCAGATTCCAGGAAGGTTCCCTAGGAAACGCTCCCATGCCTGCTGCCTTTGGCTCACCAGAATCCCCTGAGATGCACAGCTTCACACAGTAAGACAGGCACAGAGTTGCTCCTATACCAGCTCGTGATGTGTTGTGTGGGCTCTCAAGGGTTTGTTTATTTATTTTGTTATTTGAGACAGGGTCTCACTCTGTTACCCAGGCTGAAGTGCAGTGGCACGATCATAGCTCACTGTACCCTCAACCTCCTGGGCTCAAGTGATTGACCTCAGCCTCCCAAGTAGCTGGGGCCACAGGCGCCTGCCACCATGCCTGGCTAATTTTTTTTTTTTTTTTTTTTTTGAGACAGAGTCTCGCTCTGTCCCCCTGGCTGGAGTGCAGTGGCACAATCTTGGCTCACTGCAAGCTCCGCCTCCCAGGTTCACGCCATTCTCCTGCCTCAGCCTCCTGAGTAGCTGGGACTACAGGTTCCCGCCACCACACCCGGCTAATTTTTGTATTTTTAGTAGAGATGCGGTTTCACCTTGTTGGCCAGGCAGGTCTCCATCTCCTGACCTCGTGATCTGCCTGCCTTGGCCTCCCAAAGTGCTGGATTACAGGTGTGAGCCACCACATCCGGCCAATTTTTAAAATTTTTTTGTAGAGGCCGGGCGCGGTGGCTCAAGCCTGTAATCCCAGCACTTTGGGAGGCTGAGATGGGCAGATCACGAGGTCAGGAGATCGAGACCATCCTGGCTAACACGGTGAAACCCCGTCTCTACTTTAAAAATATACAAAAAACTAGCCGGGTGAAGTGGCAGGCGCCTGTAGTCCCAGCTACTCGGGAGGCTGAGGCAGGAGAATGGCGTGAACCTGGGAGGCGGAGCTTGCAGTGAGCTGAGATCCGGCCACTGCACTCCAGCCTGGGCGACAGAGTGAGACTCCGTCTCAAAAAAAAAAAAAATTTTTTTTGTAGAGATGGGGGTCTTGCTTTGTTACCCAGGCTGGTCTTGAACTCCTGATCTCAAGCAATCCTCCCACCTCCCAAAGTACTGGCATTACAGGTGTGAGCCATCATGCCCAGAGGGTTTAATTTTTTTGTTTGTTTTTTGAAATGAAGTCTCGCTCTGTGGCCCAGACTGGAGTGCAATGGTGTGATCTTGGCTCACTACAACCTCTGCCTCCCCAGTTCAAGTGATTCTCCTGCCTCAGCTTCCTGAGTATTTGAGATTACAGGTGTGCATCACCATGCCTGGCTAATTTTTGTATTTTTAGTAGAGACAGGGGTTTCACCATGTTGGCTAGGCTGGTCCCGAACTCCTGACCTCAAGTGATCCACCTGCCTCAGCTTCCCAACATGCTGGGATTATAGGCGTGAGCCACTGCGTCCAGCTAATTTTTTTTTAAACTTAGTTTCTAACACTTAAAAATTGAGACTCATAAAACTGATTCTTTTTTTTTTTTTTTTTTTTAGACGGAGTTTCGCTCTTCTTGCCCTGGCTGGAGTACAATGGTGCAATCTCAGCTCACCCCAACCTCTGCCTCCTGGGTTCAAGCAATTCTCCTGCCTCCGCCTCCTGAGTACCTGGGATTACAGGTATGTGCCACCACACCCGGCTAATTATGTATTTTTAGCAGAGATGGGGTTTCTCCATGTTGGTCAGGCTGGTCTCGAAATCCTGACCTCAGGTGATCCGCCCACCTCAGCCTCCGAAAGTGCTGGGATTACAGGCGTGAGCCACCATGCCCAGCCTATAAAATTGATTCTTTAAAAAAAATTAGAACATTTACCGATGCTGGACCCACCTTCCCCACCTTCAGGGTCCACTTTCTAGGTGGCCACAGTGCCTACTTGGCCCCAATAGCATTTGAGTTTGCAACTTTGCTTTTGGAGTTAAACATGTTTTAGGAGTACTGAGATTCTGATTGATGCTATTGTCAATTTGATGAAAGAAAAATTACTCCTGGGGTTTGTGTCTGGTGTTTTCCAGGTGTTCTGTTTTTGGGATTTTGTTGTTGTTTTGTTTTTGTTTTTGTTTTTCTGAGATAGAGTCTTGCTCTATCACCCAGGCTGGAGTGCAGTGGCACCATCTCAGCTCATTGCAACCTCCACCTCCCGGGTTCAAACAATTCTCCTGCCTCAGCCTCCCAAGTAGCTGGGATTATAGGAGTGTGCCACTGCAGCCAGCTAATTTTTGTATTTTTAGTAGAGACAGGGTTTCACCATGTTGGCCAGGCTGGTCTCAAACTCCTGGGCTCAAGCATTCCACCCACCTTGGCCTCCTGAAGTGCTGGGATTATAGGCTGAGCCACTGTGCCTGGCCAGGTGTTCTGTTTTTGTTTTTGATTTTTTAGAGATGTGGTCTTGCTGTATCACCCAGGCTGGTCTCAGACTCCTGGTTTCAAGTGATTCTCTCGCCTTAGCCTGCTGCGTAGCTGGGACCACAAGTGCGAGCCACCACACCCGGCCTCTAGGTGTTTCAGTCCTCAAGGCGAAGAGAGACATGCAACTTAGCAAGTCAGTACTGTATTCAAGCCAGAGTGAGCAATGAACTGAAAGCTGAAGTGGGGAGGAGTCCCGGAAATGATGACACTCTTCACTCTGCCAACCAGGAGGAGAGCTGAGTGTCCAAGGTCAGGGAATTTGTTCCTGAAAGGGACCCTTTCACCCCATGCAGTCCCAGGAGTGCACCAGGCCCCCCAAAAGTGGATGTGTCGATGTGTCCTGACTCTTGGGCAGAAGTTTCTCTACCAGCAAAAGGGGACACTTTAGGGATACTGGGGGAGTCCAAAGGTTTGGATCCCTCCATGGGATCACCTAAACTAGGTCAAATGAAGTCTCAGCATCTATTTAATTGTTGAAAGAATATTTATTGGACATCTACTATAAGGCAGACATTAACTTCTTCTTGAGAATGAGAGGTATTCCTTCCAAGGCTGGCTTTTGGATCTAGGCAGGTCTAGGAGAGAGGGTTACCACAGTTTCCATGTGGCAATAGCAGCCCCTGAAAGAGCTCCAAAAGGCGTCAGGGCAAGGTGAGTCAGTAAGCAGAGCAGACATTAAAAACTTAAACAGGGCCGGGTACAATGCCTCGTGCCTGTAATTCCAGCACTTTGGGAGGCCAAGATGAGCTGATGGCTTGAGCCCAGGAGTTCCAGACCAGCCTCAGCAACATAACGAGACCCCAAATCGATTTATTTCTTTATTCATTTAGAGACAGAGTTTTGCTCTGTCGCCCAGGCTGGAGTGCAGTGGCATGATCTCGGCTCACTGCAAGCTCCACCTCCCAGGTTCACGCTATTCTCCTGCCTCAGCCTCCCGAGTAGCTGGGACTACAGGCGCCAGCCACCACGCCCGGCTAATTTTTTGTATTTTTAGTAGAGATGGGGTTTCACCGTGTTAGCCAGGATGGTCTCGATCTCCTGACCTTGTGATCTGCCTGCCTCAGCCTCCCAAAGTGCTGGGATTACAGGCTTGAGCCACCGCGCCCAGCCCCCAACTCTGTTTAAAAACAAAAACTTAAGGCCGGGCGCGGTGGCTCAAGCCTGTAATCCCAGCACTTTGGGAGGCCGAGACGGGCGGATCACGAGGTCAGGAGATCGAGACCATCCTGGCTAACACGGTGAAACCCCGTCTCTACTAAAAATACAAAAAAAAACCTAGCCGGGTGAGGTGGCAGGCACCTGTAGTCCCAGCTACTCGGGAGGCTGAGGCAGGAGAATGGTGTAAACCTGGGAGGCGGAGCTTGCAGTGAGCTGAGATCCGGCCACTGCACTCCAGCCTGGGTGACAGAGCTAGACTCCGTCTCAAAAAAAAAAAAAAAAAAAAAAAAAAAA